ATAATAATAATTTGCTGAAGACAAAGTGCTAATTGACGAAAGGCAATTATCGATGAATATTCACCCACACGAAGTCTAGGAGTGGTGTTTACTAGCCAGGGGCGCCAGTCTATACTTCATAAGTCACACACCAATTGAATTAGATAAAACCCAGATACGTCTGGAATTGTCTAGATCACAGAAACAACAAKAACGCTGCAAATATTCTCATCTAGACCTCTTGCACATAATTCCCAATTTTGGGGTCAAAACATGAGAATTCCATTCTCTTAGCTTCCCTTGAGGATTGAAACTTTCTTGAGTTGACATTTTTCATCGTTTTTTTTCCAGAGGTAGGGATTTAGTGCAAGAGGTCTATGGCTGTCTATTTGACTATCTATTTGACTTAATGTACTTACAATAGGAAGTATTGCTGGCCAAGAGAATCCAAATTCACTTCACAAAGAATTGAGATCCAAAACCTTAAAGTGGGTCATTGAATTGGGCAAAGCTGTGGAATAAAAGTGATTACGATCACCGTGTCAAAGCAGCTAGAGTARACCAGTGACTTCTCTGAAGTGACCATAGTGTAATGCGAACGCACTGCACAGTCTATAGGTCAYATCAACTCGTCTTACCGAAGTTTAGAGAAAGACTGGTAACGAAACGTGGCGAATAGGATTGTGGGATTGAAAATATCGGACCTATGCGCCTCGAGGTCGTTACCAGTCTTCGTCATACTTATGGAAAGCGAGGGTCATAAGCATGAGGATAGGAAGGACAGTGGTATTTCTACGTCATAGCCGCCATGTTGGATGCTTTTTTAGTTTGGTTTGTTACATTAACCAATATGGCGGAGTTTTGTGGTTTGTTATTCTCATGGGGAAGGGATCTTRGCCTCCAGTGTTAAAGTAGTTTATAAAATAGGGCCAATCTTGTAGAGAGTATGGAGGTGACCGTGTCGTGTCTAAGCAATTCTTATTGGATAAACTGAAATGTCGCCAGCTGATTGGTTCAACTCCATGCCGTGTCCTATAATATATAATGGCACGGCTTCTCAGTGATTGATCTGACATTCCAGCTATTCTTGGATCGGCTTAGAATGACCTRTGTTTTATCGCTTATCGCCCATCGCCCATCGCTTGTCGCCCCGGCAACCTTTTTCGAAATAGGCATATTTTGATACACTTTTACGYATTCGCCATTTTGAAGGAAAAACATCAACACGGATTTTTTTTTTAGTAAAGAAAGTTTCTTTAGTTTCTTTAGTTCCTACCTTTTATGCGAGAAAATGCAGGTATAAGTACTTTGAAGTAGGAAAAAACTTCTTCAATGCACTGAACAACGGATGACTCCTCAAGATGACTTAGAAGTTCATCGAAAGTACGGGCGAAAACAAAGAAATAAATAAGATAAAGAATAAATAATTTCTTAGTTCAATCACTTTTTAATATTCAGAAAAAGCAGAAAAAGCTTTCAAAGGGTTCAGTGAGATATTATCAAGATTATTATAATCTTTTTATTGTTCTATGCAAAAAAATGCGCTTGGGAAAACACCCGTACATTTTGTTTAAGAAATTCTTTACATGTGAAAGAAGTACACCAATACAACACTAGATTGGCAGCAAAAAAATCGTACTATATACCTAAAGCAAGAACCAATTATTCGTTTCATTGGCACAAAAATCTGGAATTCTATTGAAGATGACTTAAAATCCAAAAGCCGTACTTTTTTTAAACGTTGTCTTAAATCTTCTTTGCTTTCTAAGTATTTAGATCGACATGCGTGATTTTGCTTAATCTAWTTCCAGTTGATGAGAACATAGTYGATAATTCAGCTATTGCCCATTTTGCTCTGTGTTAGTTCTCGTACTGTGTGTGTTTGTCAGCATGCTTTCTTATACTCGTTCTTAAAGTACTGAATTRATTGTATRCTTTATACCGCGTGGSCCAGACATTTAGCTCGACTAGCTTAAGCTATTTCTAAATGTCTGTGCTCTCATTAACTGCAAAACAACATATATAGTTGTAACGTCACTTCAGGAGCACAATAGAATTGTCGTTGTTGTTGTAAGCCTTGAGAAGGGTTTATCAAAATGATGATTTTCTGAAAAGTATAACGCGCCAAAAAAGAAGGAATCAAATCTTTCAATGAAAGATTTTTTCCATTCATTWTTTGCGCGTTTTCCTCCTCAGAAAATCCTCATGCATAAGCATTCCAATGCGATATTCTTTGTATTAGCTACTCGAGAATTGAAAAGATGGAAAGTCAAGCTGCACGGCTAAAGTGTAAGGTAATCAAACAGCTTACCATACGTAKTGAAACCACAAGTCTATTCAAAAAAAATGTGAAGAGGTTTGATGATATTGTTAAACTGTTTTTCACAAGGACGCGGCAAGCATGCTTGATAATTACAGAACTGAATGAATAAATCTGAGAACGAAAATCTGCTGTTTTGCCGCAGGTAAAATGAAACTGGTGGAAAATGCAATATTGCATGTTCATGATGCGGAATAGGARATAGATTTAATGAAATTTTGAGCCAAAAGGTGTTTATAATAGACACGCAAATTCTAATTAGATCGGATATTGAAGAGAAAAAATCGAATATTTGACTTACCCGAACGAAAGGCCTTATCCAAGRAGTACAGTATTTAACATTCAATTGAACTCCATTTCAGTGCGCCTTACCATGGTTGTTTAGTCCAGTACAATCTAGAATAAAATATACCCTAGATTTGTTAAGAAATTCAACTCGTGCACTGATCGACAGCTATTTTTCCTAACTATAACACTATCTTACCTGACTAGCAAATTGCAGCCCTCCTATTGGCCAGTAAACCCTTTCAAATATGATTAAGGAAATTAAATTGGCAGTCGTAAATTAAGAAATAATGAAGCTTTACAGTCGAGAAGCTTTTATAGAAGAACAAATAGGAAAGACGTCTGGCGGAGAGGGCATTCGATGTAATCATTAAACCAATATGAGAAGACTCATTACGCGAGTCAAGAATCAYTGAAGATTTCACTCTTTGCTTTGAAGTATCAATATCAGCTCTTTTTAACACGAAATCAGTTATTTTCAGAGTTCCAAGTATAGGCGAGTTACTCTGATCATTTTGTCTGATYGAGTGTGTTTGCGTTTCATCGATGAGTACGTACGTTTTCCCGTTGTGTATTGAAAAACCCTTAAGAGTTAGAACATTATTTCCTACAACACAACTGCCTGATAAGTGCTTTTAGTGGCTCTTATTTCCGCTTGTACTAATAGCTTTTCTCGAACTATCTGATAGTTCGGTTTGCTTGCATGTTTACCGATTAGATTTGTTAGATACATATTTATATTAAATAATATAGAGATATTGTTCAGTTTTATATCACATGAAATGCATAGTGAAAACTTTGACTTTCACATACTAATTCAGTCTGCACCCAAAAAAGGGCGGGGATGGCATTTAGATGGTGTTTATAAAGTCAGAGAGTTCTAGAATTATCCCGTTAGACATTCGTCATTCCTCACTTAGTATGAGAACACTACCTATGATCTACTGTTTCATAAATAGACATTTTTAAACATAACTTAGCAACATATTAGTATTCACATTTATTGTATATATATATATTTCCTTTCTAACATTTTTCATTTGTAACATATGTAGTTCATAATACTTTCAAATAAAACAAATCATTGTTACATACACAGACTTCAACTTTTACTTAGGTGAACCTCGCTTCATGGGGAAAAATCTATTTGCGTTCTACCCTTGGTTCAAAAGGTTCAACTTGATCGCTTTGGAAAGGTTTAGGGGGCTTCCTATCTAAGCAGCGAACAATGGAATGACAAGATAAACCTCTGGAAGCCAGGATACTCATCGAGTGTCCACACTGATARATAATCAAAATAATTTGTGAACACAATAGGCGGAGTTTTGACGACCAACACGAGATAGTCCTGAACATTATGATCCCCYGCCGACACTCGGAACTTACCACACATCAACTTTGCTAATTTCGAGTAGTTTCTGGGTAATTACAATACTTATGAATCTTCAAGAGTGTAGTTAATATCACTAAGAGCTTATATCATATTTACCTTGACAAGTAATTACCTCATTCCCTTTAGAATGTGGACGACTATCTTGCAGTGTCTGCCTTGAGAGAGGACTAGTTGTGATCTGTGGTGATGAAATGCCAGATTACATTATTTTAGTTTTTGTCAGTTTTGAATTGGTTCAGGGCCCTCTTYATAAAAGAAATTAACTCTTGGCAAACAAGTCCATTCATCAACTATATCGTCACGTCAAATAAACAAAATGGTTTATTAGCTACTTCACCAAGGTCGATCTTGTCTTAATGGGTATTAAAATTTCACTAGAATGGTTTACTGGTTATTTTAAAATTTGACGTGATGGTAAAGTTAGTGCATGGACGTGCGTGCTAAGAGCTAATTACGTTTTATGAAGAGAATCCTACTGGATATACAACAACGTTAACAGCGGTTATTCCCGCCAATTATTGATTATAAGAAAATGACTATCAATGTTGGATTTAGTCTATACAAATTCTGATATATACAAAAMGACTAAAATTAATGGGAAGTATAAATTTTTTTTTTACTCTAATAAAACTTTAATAGATTTGAAGAAATATAGAAAACGCGCGCGCCTGAGGTGTGCAGTTATAAAGCAAGCGGGAAATCGCAAAAAAAAAAGGATCTGTGAGGAGAAGCTCGTCTAGCTTCTCAACACTTCTCGAATGTTCTGCCAATCAGCCTCAAGTGCTCAATTTATAACTGCGTACAACACAGCATGAAAGTTTTTTATKTCTTTTATAAAATACAAAGTATAATATTATATATTATACAAATGTTATACACTATACGAATGACGAAGTGGAGACGCGTGCGTGCTGTATTGAATTTGAATTTAGGCTTACAGCAATCGAGGGCGTAGCCTCCTCATCAGAATAGGACTTCTAAATGCAATATAAAGATAAAGTTTCGATCATTTCTCGTCACGATCTGTAACAGCCTTGTTCTTGCTTAGATCAGCCCATGCCGAGACTGAAATGGTTGGTACTGGGTTGCCTGTGGCAGCCAAGTCTAAAAATGCGTTGCGTGTCTTCGTATTTTCCTGCTCAGAAAATGCCAAAATTGCGCAATAATACCCAGGGGTCTTCACGGCACTATCCAAAAGTCGTTTGCGGACATATGATACAAAGATCCCGCGTAAAGTCTAATTTATATTCAAGTGACAGTTACCAATCAATGTCTAATTGATTGATTGGGGATGGGCTGCGAATYACGTGTCGGAGATTCCTACGCATATTCTTTTTGCGTTAGTTTCTGAAATTCAAGGCTCAGTGCAGGATTAGGAATTACTCGGGTGTATAAACTGACCAAGAAAGTTCAAGATGGCGTGAAAAGATCTTTCTTTTATTTCTTCAATTTTTTAGCAGTATTCTATAAAGAAAGAGTTAAAAAAAGATTAATGGCTCTAACATAAACTACTTTGAAAACAAGGCGYTTAATATTCCCGTGAGAGAACAAATCTATGTTTAATTAATAAAGTTGGCKTTATGTATTATCGTATTGATTGAGTTGGATTTTTAAAAATAAAATGGAACTGACGGCCATTTAGTGTTTTGAAATTGAAATTGAAACGCTCCTATACGAAAATACAGACAGTCAGTTCTTTTTTTCAGTGATTCAGTCCTCTGCTAGATTTCAATTTGACGTATTTGCGTAGAAAGGAATAGGTTATTCGGAAATAGGAATTTTTTACTATTCTATGTTTTATTATTTTGAAAATKAAAAATGAAAAACGGGGAAAATGAGCAAAAGCGTGAGTAGGTATAATGTTTAGGTCACCCATCCAAATGCTAACCCTCCTCAG